AGCAATATCACACTTTTCTGCGGTGTGTGTGCGTGCGTGAGTAGGAAAAAATAGTCTCCTTTTTGCTCTGTTGCTTCTTATTACTTGTTAGAAAATTTCTGTTGCCAGTGAAGTTATATTTAGACAGATTTTCAGATTTTCATCTCGCGTACTCTTTTCCCCATTTACTAGCACAATCCAAGACCCACATTGACAAAATGTATTTGGATATATGCTTCACTTTCCTTGCCATTTTCCTCGCGTGTGTGCGTCGAGTGCGGAAAGCTGAATCTTAGCGCCTCCCTGGCAAATCGCACGCTAATATTTCACGATTGGCCCTGCTTTTCCACACACAATGTGTCTTAAGGTCATCGTGTTTCTGGCACATTTTTCCACACACACTCGCCATGTGTGCGGGTGAGAAAAGCCCGCGCGAAGCCGGAACATTGCCACCCAAGCTGGGATTTGTTTAATTATTGTATCGGCGTTAAGAGTTCAATTGAAAATATCATTAATCTGTGAGGCGAGAAGCAAGTTGTGCCGTGGTATTTACGATCTCGTCACGAGGCATTCATCCTCTGATTGAGGGCTGCAGAGGTGAGAAGTGACGTGAGGCAGACGGTAAATCTTTCAATGTTGCGTGACGTGAAGCCGGGCGCGCATTTCTGGGCATGGGCCAGAAATCAATCACTGTCGCGTGAGATTCAACGTCACAGGAATACCTTCGCGAATTCGCTCGCCTCTGGCGATGACCTACCTGCGTTCTCTCTTGTTTATACATACTTTTCTGCGAACTCCGCCCGCGAAGTGCACGCCTTTCTTTCAGTGAAAGGCTTTCGGCTGTCGCGAGTGAAATTTATGCTAAAAATATGTCACTGGTCAGAGAAGAGGAGAAGAAGTCGCGTGTCAGGAGTCCGGAAACTTTGGGAATTCTTGTTGTTTGTCTTCTTGCTTCCGACGAAGTGCTAAATTTAGATATCAAATATCTCAGGCATGGAATTCTTCTCATGAGCAGAAATCTATTCAGTGCGCTTAAATAAATAGCATCTGGAAATAGCTAAAAGGGCTGAGAAAATATACCAGCAAGAGAGGCTTTTGCAAGGATGAAAGTGTAATGCATTGAGTGAAAATAGGATAGAATTAGTCAGAGTTAGATATAATCCCTGCACTTCTTAGACATCAAAGGCTTCACACTGTAGTTTCTGTAGAGAAATCCTTCTAATCCTCTAGTGAAACTGCTTTAATCTCATCAGAGAGGAGCAATGATAAAGCCAGAACTTATTCCCATTTCTCTCACCTTTCAAACACTGAGAATTTGGCAATTAGATCTATTTTATTAGGTCAGCAGCCCTTCACCTGATAACACAGAATTTCTGATGGGCATTCATGCAAAAGGAGTTCGAATTACCTCAAGGGTTTCCCCAATTTTCCGCTCAATCACGTCTCCAATCCGCTCTTGCGACTGATGAAAGATTCATGTTGGTGAGTCGGCGTGGGCTGAAGGAAGCGCCGTGACGCCGTCGGGTGTCTTATGTGCAAAATGCATTGACCTCTGGTTGCAAAGTAATCCTGTGTGCTTCATTCATGCAGCGCACTTTGGCGGGCGCTCGAATGGGACGAAGGGAGACGACTATGTGTCTTGCGAGTCCTCGTGGCACTTGTGCCCTCGTGCTGAGGGTGTTTTCGCGCTAGGGCGAGCGAGCGAGAGCACAGACAGACTGGCAGCAACAATTTCCCGGCCAGAGGCCGGCAACTTGGCGGGCTGTTTGGCTGGCAGGAAGCCGGGTCCTTCGGTGTGGTTGTAAATTGTGACGCATGCGTCAACGAAAGCGACAACAATTTCCGTGTTGTTCGCAATCTTCGAGCGGATTTTCCGTCAGTCTTCGAGGTATCCTTGCAGCGTCGAGTCGCGGCCAGAAGATCGGTTGCCGGAGGTGGCAAATTCCAGTTTTCTGTCTGAGTACTCCATTGTGGTGGAGGTTTTTTTCACAACCAATTTGAGCAGTTTTCCGGGAGATTTCCCTCAGTTTGTGGCCAGAGTGTGGTTTGTGTGTTGCGTTGGAGAGTGCCTGAGCTGTGCACTCTTCTTTCTAACCCCGATTTTCACTAATTTATGGAAGTAGCGATTTTCCAACGACCTTGAAATGGTCACTGAAAATGGAACTCAGGTAAAACCCACCAAAAAGCCGCTTTGGCTAGTAGAAAGTAGTGGAAAAGTTGAGCTTGTCGTGTGAGGATAATTTTTCTGGAGGTGAAAAGGATGCTTTTGCGTTGTGGATCGGAAAAATTGGTCGTTCAAGGTTGGGCGTTAAAACAGAGGGTAAGAAAATTCGTCCACCATTTTGAATCCGGCAACTAAAGAGGACTTTTCGTCAGTTTTCCCGTGTATGCAATCTGCCATTCTCAGGGGTGGAATCACCCTTCGAGCTCTCATAATGTTTCGTAGATGGAAAATGTAATGAATTCTGGGAATTCCTTTCGTATGACTTTGATGGATTTCCATAGGCTTCTCGGGAGGAATTTGAAGGATGTGTACGGATCTCTGCAAACGATGAAATAGTGGCTTTGTCGCAATGCGATCAATATTTTTGACTCATCGTACAAAAAGGTAAAATGGCTGATTTTCCTCCCTGCCAAAAATCTTTAACACTTCCGTCACTTTGACCTCCAAACGGGCTTTTGGGGTTTTCCATCTTCGCTAGTAATGCAGAGTGTCGACAGCGCTCATTTCTGCCTTCGTCCCTGACTTTTATATCCTGACTTTTCTCTCTTTCTCTCTGGGTGTGAGAATTAACATATAAAACCTCCCCAGAGTGCCCTTCTCGGGTGATTCGTGGCATTTTCAGGCGCACACACACAAAAATAGCGACGAGGAAGTAGACTTATCACTTTAATTCCATTTTCAAACACCGCTTAATTATTCAGCCATCAGGTGAATTAAGCCAAAAGTCACCCTCACAAAGTCTCGCTGCTTTTCTTTTGGCCCCGATTGTGGAAAGTGAAAGTCACCCTCTTTGCATCGCACAGAAGGAACATGGAATGGACATTGTGTTTGAAATTCAGGGGTCGATAGCAGTGCATTTGATGGCTGTGCTGGAAAAAAAGAGGAAAATGCTCGAGGGAGAAATATTGTGCTCATTAAGTATTCCATCCCTCTAGAGCGTGCTGAGGTCATTAAATGCAACTGCAGTTCGGGGTGTGATGTGAGGATTTTTTCAGAGGGTGGATTCATGCAAGGCGCTTCGAATGCACATGAGATAGAATAACACTTCAAAGAGAAATTGGTCAATTAGTGCTCGAGTGATATGTTCAGTGAATCTACTGGAAATTACTGCTGATAAACACTGCTCTATTGAGAATAATTGGACTCTCGAGATCTTTATTTATTGATGAATATCAATTCATTATTCTCAAATGGAAATACATCACATTTTCACGTATTTTCATTTACAAATTCTAACGACAAGTACAAGTTTAAAGCAGTATTTAATCTACATTTATATCAATTTGTAAATATTGTTGATTATTATTTGTATTCAAGACAGTTCAATGGCAATTAAACCTTATTTAAACTTGATATGTGAGAAAAGAAAATCGTCGAAAAGCATATTACAACTCATTAATAATACTGTGTAAGCAAAGCAATTGCATTTTTTATGCATAACATATTTCGTGTGCCTCCACAAGACCTTGCTCTTTTCTATTACTGATGGAAAATTCATCGGCTGCTGCTGAAAAATGCAGGCAGTTATCTCTATTTTCAATCAGTGTTCTTCACCGTATATTTGCGTGGAGTTACGATCAAGATTATCGATTTCCCACTCAGCACTGCTCTGATTTTTCATCCCCTAAAGCACACTCACACACTAAATGAATGTCCCTGGCCGGCATGGTGTCTGGCGAGCGAAAGAATCGGGTGTGGCGTCTATATTTGGGCTTATTTACAGACATGCAATTATAAAATGTTTTGTGGGTGTTGATAAAAGTTCCGTCACGGCGACATGCGAGGAAAAAAGCCTCGAGGGAGAGCTTTTTTCCTACTCTGAAGACAGAGGAGACGATATGTAAAGTCTGTGTGTGACGAGAAGAGTGAACAAAAGAGGGAAAATGAGCTTTTTACCATTTTTCTCTGATGGACTTCTCACACCTCGCGAAGGGTGGAAACGCGTGCGCCTGCGTGCGAGGGATGGAAAATGTAGAGACTTGAAGACATTTTCACGCTTTTCACACTCGAACCTCAGTGCTCGTTTCCGCGCCAGACTGTCTCTCAGTGTCTTGCAACCAGAAGCCGTGTGAACTGCCAACTGTCCGGTGGAATTTAATTAGTTTAAGTGCTCTCTTCTAAACTGTATTCTCCAATTTTGGGCTATGTGCAAGTGACACGGGCTTTGGGGTGGTTTTTCTGCAGTAGCAGGTGCTGAAAGAGCGGCCGAAAATGGGGTGTTTCTCAAAATGCTTGGTAACTATCGTGTCTGAGTAGGCAAAGAGGGTGGAAATAATGGGCAAATATCCTTGCATTCTGTAGATTCTCAGTAGTGAATGCGTAGTGGCGTCTATTTGTGATTGAGGGTGATGTCTGTTAGGCGACGTCGTCGCCGAGGAAAATCAATAGTGTACACAAATTTTGCGTTAAGCACTCTGTTCCACAGTCGTATGATGGATAGATTTGTATCGCATGCAAAATCTGATGGGTTTTATTGCTCAAACTGCTGAAAGTTTGAGGAAAAAGTCTCTAATTCGCAAGAAAGAATGTCCTGTCAATGTGTTTTCTAGGTTTTTCCACCTGCGGCGCACCCAAAAAGCCATATAAAATTGTAATATCGTCTGTGGTGTATTTATAGAGTGACGAGAAAATGTTTTCACTTCCTTCCTTCGCGGATATTGAGCGGTTGTGTATTTCTGCTATATGAAATCCGATCGATGGGAAGAGGGAAAGAGAGCCAACTGAAATGGGGATTTATTGGTGTGAAAATACGCTCCTCGGCTAAACTAATCACATCGCTTTCGATGTCTCTTTGCAGTCTGATGGAAACACCTCATTTCTTCGAGCGGCACGAGCCGGCAACCTTGATAAGGTGCTCGAGCATCTGAAGAACAACATAGACATCAATACATGCAATGCTGTAAGTATCGATCTTGGTTAGTTAAACAGCAATTGTCGTATCTGCATTTAAATAACTTTCCTGCAGACAATTGTAGTATATAATCCACGAAATATTGCCTGAAAATTTGGCTGCACAATTTAGGGCCGAAAAAAAATTCAACGAATTTCTATGAAGAAAGTTTCTGGTAGAACAATGTTTGCTTTACAATGAATAAATTTGCGTTATCGCTTTGCGGTAAAGCAAACAGTGTTGATCAAACATGAGACACTCGCTGTCTGTGGCGACACGGCTTCCGATTGTTATTTAAGGAAATTGTGCAATATTTCGCGTGATGCAGACATTTATGGGCAATGAATGATAAAATTCTCCTCTCTTCCACTCATCTCGTCAATGCCGTCCACTCGCACAGAATGGCCTCAACGCCCTGCATTTGGCATCGAAGGATGGACACGTGCACGTGGTGGCGGAGCTGCTGCGACGCGGCGCCACCGTGGATAGCGCCACGAAGAAGGGCAACACGGCGCTGCACATCGCTTCGCTCGCCGGCCAGGAGGAGGTGGTGAAGCTGCTGCTGCAGCACAGCGCCTCCGTGAATGTGCAGTCGCAGAACGGCTTCACGCCGCTCTACATGGCGGCGCAGGAGAACCACGACTCGGTGGTGAAGCTGCTGCTGTCCAACGGCGCCAACCAGAGCCTGGCCACGGAAGACGGCTTCACGCCACTGGCTGTGGCGATGCAGCAGGGTCACGACAAGGTGGTGGCTGTGCTCCTGGAGAGCGACACGCGCGGGAAGGTGCGCTTGCCCGCGCTCCACATTGCCGCCAAGAAGGATGACGTGAAAGCTGCAACGCTTCTCCTTGAGGTTTGTGTCTCTATGATAAATTGTGTTCTGCTCCTAATGCGAGAGACGTGACCACAATGCGTAAGCTTGTCTTTATGGGATGAGAGAAACACACTTGGCAAGGTTATCTTTGGCACACTTTCGAATCAATATTTTGCGCATTGTGCTTCTGAGGGTTTTATCGGACTCAGAATTGCAACTATAATCAAAAGGACTTTATTGCATTGACTGGTATTTTCTGTCATATCAGTAAGGTTTCGCACAAAGGCTAAATTTTATACTACTTGCATAGTCATTCTAATCAATAAACTCCTCGAAGTTGCACTTTCCGAAATGAGGACAAGCTTGACATTTATGATGAACGACACTCTCGAAGGTTTTACTGTATGAATGACTCTGCAATTTCGCTGTGTTTGCAGAACGACCACAATCCGGACGTGACTTCGAAGTCAGGCTTCACGCCGCTGCACATCGCGTCGCACTACGGCAATGAGGCGATCGCCAATCTGCTGATCCAGAAGGGAGCGGACGTGAACTACGCCGCCAAGCACAACATCAGCCCGCTGCACGTGGCCGCGAAGTGGGGCAAGACGAACATGGTGTCGCTGCTGCTGGAGAAGGGCGCCAATATCGAGAGCAAGACCCGCGACGGGCTCACGCCTCTGCACTGTGCCGCGCGCTCGGGTCACGAGCAAGTGGTGGATATGCTGCTGGAGCGCGGCGCACCCATCAGCGCCAAGACGAAGAACGGCCTGGCGCCGCTGCACATGGCGGCGCAAGGCGAGCATGTGGACGCTGCGCGCATCCTGCTCTACCACCGTGCGCCCGTGGACGAGGTGACAGTGGACTATCTCACGGCGCTGCACGTGGCCGCGCACTGCGGTCACGTGCGCGTGGCGAAACTGCTGCTTGACCGAAACGCCGACGCCAATGCACGCGCTCTCAACGGCTTCACGCCGCTGCACATTGCGTGCAAGAAGAACCGAATCAAGGTGGTGGAGTTGCTGCTGAAGCACGGCGCCAGCATCAGCGCGACCACGGAGAGCGGCCTCACGCCGCTGCACGTAGCCAGCTTCATGGGCTGCATGAACATCGTTATCTACTTGCTGCAGCACGACGCCAGTCCCGACGTTCCGACCGTTCGCGGCGAGACTCCGCTCCATCTGGCAGCGAGAGCCAACCAGGTGAGCACTGAACACTTCTTGGGATTCTTAAGTAATATCTATTGAGATCACTTTGCTTGGGAAATTCAGTGGATAAACGGAGAGACAGACAGATTTCTATTTCTCTGAATAGTTTTGTTAAACTATTAACAATCGCTAAACCCACTTTTTTGTAACTACAGCACTTTTCTTCCGAACCAACGAAATATAATTTCAAGTTAACGTGCGTGACAGATTTATTCTTGATTTCGTCGGACAAAAACGCTATATTTTTCGTTCAAAACCACTCTTTTCCATGATCATTTACGCCAACGAAACACGACGATTGTGTGAAGTCAGCCTCGCTGGTGAAAAAAGCACACACCAAGTAAAATTAATTGAGCATAATTGGATGAGTACATTCTTCGGAATTCTAATTAGTCACTGTCGACGTGTATTTCCTCCTTTGCTGTTCATGTGAGGCAAAGTGATAATGCTGTGTGTGTTTTTGCAGACTGACATCATCCGGATCCTGCTGCGAAACGGCGCCCAAGTGGACGCGCGCGCTCGCGAGCAACAGACGCCGCTGCACATCGCGTCGCGCCTCGGGAACGTGGACATCGTGATGCTGCTGCTGCAGCACGGCGCGCAGGTGGACGCCACGACGAAGGACATGTACACGGCGCTGCACATCGCGGCCAAGGAGGGCCAAGACGAGGTAAAAGATTTGGTGGCTAAGAAGATACTCGATCATATTGACACGGTTTACATGATGCAACTGTTCTGGATTAGGCATCAGGAGTATTTTATTTAGCATTTCACCTCATTTTCCGTCCATCCAAATTGGACTTATGGTTTCTCACCTGAAGTGGAAAGTTGATTCATTTGCGAATTTGTCCATGTTTTCTTCCTAAATGTACTCATTTTTTCACATCACATGACATTGTTTCTTTCTTCATTAGTTAGGTATGCACTCTTCCTTGACAGATACCAAATGATATACAAATGCAAAAAGATAAATGATGAAAAATAGATGCAAAGACGCAAAAGAACCAAATAGGAATTTTGGATTGTTGTCATTTTATCATTTTTGTTTCACTTCAATAAATTTATACACTGCGTTTGAATTTTTTACTTCTTATTTCTTTCTTTATTCTCTGTGTAGATTTGCTACGGCAACAGATGGTTGACAATTTTTATTTCGGTCGCGCGGTTTTAGTGCAACAAAATTCACATTATTGTTTTTTCACTGTTGGACAGCAGATAAATGTTCGATATAAAGTGCTCGATGAAGGGACAATCTGAAGGAAAAGTGCCTACCTTTGTATCTCGCGTACCTTTTCATGCTGTTGATGTTGCTACACATGCTTTTGTTCTTGTTGCGCGATCAGAGCGAATTAATTGATGCAATATGACTAGATATATTTTAGATTTTCCCTTCATTACAAATTGACTGGTTTTATTTTTTGAGACGATGAATTTATGTGGAAAAAACCATCTCCAAAAAACGAATATTTTGGCGTCAGTGTTTGTAGTTTTTCCTTTGATGTTTTTTCGTTTTGTCATGAAATGGAAAGACAGAGTTTTCAGAAAGAGGCAGAAAATGGTAGAAAGTTGTTAAAGAGAGAGTTTAGTAAGAATTATTCTAAGGTATGAGTGGACTTTTTTGCGATATTGAGTGCAAATAATAACAAATTGTTCAATTTTTGTAATTCTTCTTGATTATTGTTAATCTTGTTGTTAATTAATACCTTTTTGGACACGGTTTGCTCAGAATGTGGCACAATCTGTGGGACAATCTGAAGTGGAGCTTTGTAATTGCCCGTAAAACAGGCACAATTGCGGCAGTTCTGAGCCAGACCGTGTATAATTACACACTTCTTAACTGCTGCATGTTGAAGCGAAACATATGAGATAAATAGATTAGTAGAAAGAACATTGTTACAAATAATGTTTACTGTCGCCTCTTATCTTTTTAATTGCTTTCTCGCTAATTTACATGAGTTTTTTTTTACTGTTCCGAATTCAGAGGCTTTTTTTGATACAATTCTTTCTTTTCTTCTGACGTTAAATTGCCGCGGTTCTCCGGCCGTTCAAGCACACTAACAATTGCATATGTTTGCTCTCTTCTCTAGGTTGCAGCGGTGTTGATTGAGAATGGCGCTTCTCTCGATTCTGCCACGAAGAAAGGCTTCACGCCGTTACATCTCACGGCTAAGTACGGCAACATCAAGGTTGCACAGCTGCTGCTGCAGAAGGACGCGCCTGTGGATGCGCAGGGCAAGAATGGAGTCACGCCGCTGCACGTGGCAAGTCACTATGACCACCAGAACGTGGCTCTGCTGCTGCTTGAGAAGGGCGCCAGTCCACACGCCACGGCTAAGAATGGCCACACGCCGCTTCACATTGCTGCGCGCAAAAACCAGATGGACATCGCTACCACGCTGCTCGAGTACGGAGCCCAGGCGGACTCCGAGAGCAAGGCAGGCTTCACGCCGCTGCACCTGAGCGCCCAGGAAGGCCACGGTGACATGTCGACTCTTCTGCTGGAGCACAAGGCGGATGCCAATCATCAGGCGAAGAACGGCCTAACACCCATGCATCTCTGCGCCCAGGAAGACAAGGTGAACGTCGCCCAGATCCTGCAGAAGGCCGGAGCGAATACCAACGCCGTCACCAAGGCTGGTTACACGCCACTCCACGTGGCTTCGCACTTTGGCCAAGCCAATATGGTGCGATTCCTGCTGCAGAATGGCGGAGAAGTGGACTCGTCCACCCAAATCGGCTACACGCCACTCCACCAGGCCTCGCAGCAAGGACACATTCACATTGTGACACTTCTGCTGGAGAACAACGCTGATCCGAATGCGGAAACCCAAACTGGCCAAACCCCTCTGCACATTGCACGCAAGTTGGGATACATTAGTGTCCTGGACTCTCTCAAAGCGGTGACCGACGAAAAAGGCTCTCCTGAGCAGACAGTCGTCGATGAGAAATACCGCGTCGTGGCTCCGGAAGCGATGCACGAGACATTCATGTCGGACTCTGAGGAGGAAGGAGGTGAGTGGAATTAAAAAAATGTCACTGACCCTCTCATTAAGACACTCATCTGCTGCACAAAATTCTTTCTCACTCTTCATCATATTTTATGCACATTATCAACATTATAATATCTCGAGACAACATTTTTCTACGTGAATTGGCGAAACCAAATGATACACTCTCTAAAGTATATTATTTTCCCGACACTTATCACTGGCGTAGTAAATCTTCGATGATGTAAGGACAGCTTTCGGAAGAACATCACACCAGTGTGTTCTGTAACCACACAAGCTGGAATGAGTTCCCCGAGAGCGATCGCAGGATATCTAGGGGTTTTCCACTGAAACACTTTATTATGTTGTCCTCCTGCGCAACCTTCGGAACACCGAGCCCAGTGATGTTTCCTCATAGCACATCAACTGAGTTCTGAATTCCGAAGACGACCAACAGATCTTTATATTGATTCATTGCTGTGTCTCTGGACAGCTTTCGAGAAACTTTCATCCCAGTGTGATCCATAACCACACAAGCTGGAATGAGTTCCCCGAGAGCGATCGCAGGATATCTAGGGTTTTTCCACTGAAACACTGAATGGTGTCCTCCTGCGCAATCTTCGGACCACCGAATCCAGTGATGTTTCCTCATAGCACATCAACTGAGTTCTGAATTCCGAAGACGACCAACAGATCTTTATATTGATTCATTGGCGGGTCTCTGGACAGCTTTCGAGAAACTTTCATCCCAGTGTGATCCATAACCACACAAGCTGGAATGAGTTCCCCGAGAGCGATCGCAGGAAATCTATGGTTTTTCCACTGAAACACTGAATGTTGTCCTCCTGCGCAATCTTCGGAACACCGAATCCAGTGATGTTTCCTCATAGCACATCAACTGAGTTCTGAATTCCGAAGACGACCAACAGATCTTTATATTGATTCATTGGCGGGTCTCTGGACAGCTTTCGAGAAACTTTCATCCCAGTGTGATCCATAACCACACAAGCTGGAATGAGTTCCCCGAGAGCGATCGCAGGATATCTAGGGGTTTTCCACTGAAACACTTTATTATGTTGTCCTTCTGAGCAATCTTCGGAACACCGAATCCAGTGATGTTTCCTCATAGCACATCAACTGAGTTCTGAATTCCGAAGACGATCAACAGATCTTTATATTGATTCATTGCTGTGTCTCTGGATAGCTTTCGAGAAACTTTCATCCCAGTATATGTTCTAAAACCACACAAGCTGGAATGAGTTCCCCGAGAGCGATCGCAGGAAATCTATGGTTTTTCCACTGAAACACTTTATTATGTTGTCCTCCTGCGCAATCTTCGGAACACCGAATCCAGTGATGTTTCCTCATAGCACATCAACTGAGTTCTGAATTCCGAAGACGATCAACAGATCTTTATATTGATTCATTGCTGTGTCTCTGGACAGCTTTCGAGAAACTTTCATCCCAGTGTGATCCATAACCACACAAGCTGGAATGAGTTCCCCGAGAGCGATCGCAGGATATCTAGGGGTTTTCCACTGAAACACTTTATTATGTTGTCCTCCTGCGCAACCTTCGGAACACCGAGCCCAGTGATGTTTCCTCATAGCACATCAACTGAGTTCTGAATTCCGAAGACGATCAACAGATCTTTATATTGATTCATTGCTGTGTCTCTGGATAGCTTTCGAGAAACTTTCATCCCAGTATATGTTCTAAAACCACACAAGCTGGAATGAGTTCCCCGAGAGCGATCGCAGGAAATCTATGGTTTTTCCACTGAAACACTTTATTATGTTGTCCTCCTGCGCAATCTTCGGAACACCGAATCCAGTGATGTTTCCTCATAGCACATCAACTGAGTTCTGAATTCCGAAGACGACCAACAGATCTTTATATTGATTCATTGGCGGGTCTCTGGACAGCTTTCGAGAAACTTTCATCCCAGTGTGATCCATAACCACACAAGCTGGAATGAGTTCCCCGAGAGCGATCGCAGGATATCTAGGGGTTTTCCACTGAAACACTTTATTATGTTGTCCTCCTGCGCAACCTTCGGAACACCGAGCCCAGTGATGTTTCCTCATAGCACATCAACTGAGTTCTGAATTCCGAAGACGACCAACAGATCTTTATATTGATTCATTGGCGGGTCTCTGGACAGCTTTCGAGAAACTTTCATCCCAGTGTGATCCATAACCACACAAGCTGGAATGAGTTCCCCGAGAGCGATCGCAGGATATCTAGGGTTTTTCCACTGAAATACTGAATGGTGTCCTCCTGCGCAATCTTCGGACCACCGAATCCAGTGATGTTTCCTCATAGCACATCAACTGAGTTCTGAACTCCGAAGACGATCAACAGATCTTTATATTGATTCATTGCTGTGTCTCTGGACAGCTTTCGAGAAACTTTCATCCCAGTGTGATCCATAACCACACAAGCTGGAATGAGTTCCCCGAGAGCGATCGCAGGAAATCTATGGTTTTTCCACTGAAACACTGAATGGTGTCCTCCTGCGCAATCTTCGGACCACCGAATCCAGTGATGTTTCCTCATAGCACATCAACTGAGTTCTGAATTCCGAAGACGACCAACAGATCTTTATATTGATTCATTGGCGGGTCTCTGGACAGCTTTCGAGAAACTTTCATCCCAGTGTGATCCATAACCACACAAGCTGGAATGAGTTCCCCGAGAGCGATCGCAGGATATCTAGGGGTTTTCCACTGAAACACTTTATTATGTTGTCCTCCTGCGCAATCTTCGGAACACCGAATCCAGTGATGTTTCCTCATAGCACATCAACTGAGTTCTGAATTCCGAAGACGATCAACAGATCTTTATATTGATTCATTGCTGTGTCTCTGGACAGCTTTCGAGAAACTTTCATCCCAGTATATGTTCTAAAACCACACAAGCTGGAATGAGTTCCCCGAGAGCGATCGCAGGATATCTAGGGGTTTTCCACTGAAACACTGAATGGTGTCCTCCTGCGCAATCTTCGGACCACCGAATCCAGTGATGTTTCCTCATAGCACATCAACTGAGTTCTGAATTCCGAAGACGATCAACAGATCTTTATATTGATTCATTGGCGGGTCTCTGGACAGCTTTCGGATGAACATCATCTCAGTGTGTTCTGTAACAACACAAGCTGGAATGAGTTCCCCGAGAGCGATCGCAGGATATCTAGGGTTTTTCCACTGAAACACTGAATGGTGTCCTCCTGCGCAATCTTCGGACCACCGAATCCAGTGATGTTTCCTCATAGCACATCAACTGAGTTCTGAATTCCGAAGACGACCAACAGATCTTTATATTGATTCATTGGCGGGTCTCTGGACAGCTTTCGAGAAACATTCATCCCAGTATATGTTCTAAAACCACACAAGCTGGAATGAGTTCCCCGAGAGCGATCGCAGGATATCTAGGGGTTTTCCACTGAAACACTTTATTATGTTGTCCTTCTGAGCAATCTTCGGAACACCGAATCCAGTGATGTTTCCTCATAGCACATCAACTGAGTTCTGAATTCCGAAGACGATCAACAGATCTTTATATTGATTCATTGCTGTGTCTCTGGACAGCTTTCGAGAAACTTTCATCCCAGTGTGATCCATAACCACACAAGCTGGAATGAGTTCCCCGAGAGCGATCGCAGGAAATCTATGGTTTTTCACTGAAACACTGAATGGTGTCCTCCTGCGCAATCTTCGGAACACCGAATCCAGTGATGTTTCCTCATAGCACATCAACTGAGTTCTGAACTCCGAAGACGATCAACAGATCTTTATATTGATTCATTGCTGTGTCTCTGGACAGCTTTCGAGAAACTTTCATCCCAGTATATGTTCTAAAACCACACAAGCTGGAATGAGTTCCCCGAGAGCGATCGCAGGAAATCTATGGTTTTTCACTGAAACACTGAATGGTGTCCTCCTGCGCAATCTTCGGAACACCGAGCCTAGTGATGTTTCCTCATAGCACACCAACTGAGTTCTGAATTCCGAAGACGATCAACAGTTCTTTATATTGATTCATTGCTGTGCCTCTGGACAGCTTTCGAGAAACTAATATCGTTGGTAGTTAATTCTCATCACTAACTGAACTGACTTTTTCGAGAAAGTTTGCAGAGTTGTGTATCCTGTGAAAGTCGAGGATGGAATGATTCAGTTCGTCCAGAGCGGTTGCTTTTATAGGCCAGAGAGTCAAATAAATTCATACCTGAGAAGGCTCTTACTGTCCCTTTTATGACCCCTAAATTTGATCAGTTTTTAATCACCTTCTCATTATCCGAGTGTTGATCTGTTATTAATTACTTTTTACAATGCAATCTGCATTTACAGTAGGATTTAGCAATGTGCTAGACGTATCGAATGTACATGTTTTAGGGTACAAATTTTGTATAAAAAAAATTATGTAAGAGATTTGGAGAAATCTGCTCAATTTTCTCAGCGAAATTATTACGCCACTGATTTTTGTGTCCTATCAGATATCTGACATCGAAGGGTTGAGTCTCTTCTTGAGATTCCCAGAAATTGGCAGTGAATTCAAAATTGACTTTGCGCTTCCGGAGAGACTGATCCCTTTCAAGAAATCCTGCGCACTTTTATCAATTCACGTTTTCCTTCTCCAAATGCCTGTTCGCGCGCATGATGGTACTTTTGTAGGTGAAACGAATTACTTGGACTCATCATGCTACCAATTACTAAATCATCCCATGAATGATAGTCATGTCTATCTTCCCTACTATCATGGTGATTCCATAATTACTCGTAAGTCATTCCACTCATTTTACTCACAATCTCTGAATGTTGTTCATTTTTGGCGGCTCATCTCATTTTAGTGTCTATTTATCTCATGGAATGCAATTGTTTGGTGTTTATATCATGAATGGGAAGATTTACAAGTGGTTTCTGTTTGTCTTTAGGTGAGGACACAGTTCTGAGTGACCAGCCGTATCGCTACTTGACCGTGGATGAGATGAAGTCTCTTGGCGACGATTCGCTGCCGATTGACGTGACTCGAGACGAGAGAATTGATTCTAACAAGATGGTGCAGAGCACAGAATCCGCACAGATTCCGCCAACTGCTCTTGAGGACAGCATCAGTCCTCAGCACGCCAACAACTTGGGCCGCAGCTACACGGACGGCGTAAAGTACATCCCAGACAATGTCAACATCGAGAGACATCCTCAGCACTTCGGGTAAGAAACTCTGACTCTTTCTATTGTGAACCTCGCAAGCAATCCACGGACGATTGATGAGAAGATGATTTTCTTGAGAGCGAGAGATTTGTTTTTACTATTTCAAATAACTAATAATGAATTTTGTGCTGCTAACTGAATAACTTATTTTGGTGGGAATTTCTCCAGAAAACTCCACTGGAAAAAGTGAGTATCGATAGCTGCCAATCGTGTGTGTTTTCTTTTACTTTTCTCCCTCAAATCCTGAGAATGTGGAGACATGCCAAAAATTGGAATGCACCTCCTTGATTGGTTTACCCTGCGCCAAATTCTTTTCCTGCAAGAAATTTTGTTGATTACACCTTTAGAGATTGCACAGGGTTCTCCAGGAGACTTGTAACCAGACAAATTCCGCACAATGAGTGCTTCTGAGCATGGTTACCAGCTTTCTGGTCAGCCCTGTGACGTGAGCTGGTGGCAGGCGATAAATTCTAATTCGTCAGTTGGGTGAATTGCAGCTTCCTGGTGTCCTTCCTCGTGGATGCGCGCGGAGGCGCAATGAGAGGCTGTCGTCACAGTGGCGTGCGCATCATCGTGCCCGCGCAGTCGGCTGCGCAGCCCACGCGCATCACTTGCCGCTACGTGAAGCCGCAGAGGACCATGCATCCGCCGCAGCTGATGGAGGGCGAGGCGCTGGCCAGCCGCGTGCTAGAGTTGGGTCCGGTGGCAGCCAAATTCCTCGGTCCGGTGATCATGGAGGTGCCGCATTTTGCCTCATTGCGCGGCAAGGAGCGCGAAATTGTCATCCTGCGCTCCGACAACGGCGAGACTTGGCGCGAACACACCGTGGAGAATGCCGACGAGATCATCCATGATGTTCTCAATGAGTGTTTCGAGCCGGAAGGTGAGAAAGCGCCACCAAAAGACCCTTTTTAACACACTAATCGTCCTCTGTTGCAGATCTGAACCAGCTGGATGACTTGGGTGGCGGCAGAGTGTGTCGCTTCGTGACGTACGACTTCCCACAGTACTTCGCTGTGGTGTCGCGCATCCGCCAAGAGGTGCATGCCATCGGGCCGGAGGGCGGTATGGTGTCCAGTACGGTGGTGCCGCAGGTGCAGGCCGTCTTCCCACAGGGTGCTCTGACCAAGAAGATCAAAGTGGGACTGCAGGTAAATCTCTTTAAGCCGCGAAAGGGCGTTGCGCCGGAGAAACTGCGCAAGATTAGTGTGAATCACGTGCCGAAAAAGAAGCGCTTCTCCCTTATTTGGTAAATGAAATGCGCGCGCCCAATGCCAAAGTCTCAGTCCAGTCTTCTCTTTGTAATACTCTTATACTTTTCCAATGAATAATCCGTATATTTGAGAATATAATCGATACAATGAAGAATCAAACTGCCACGAATACTTAACCATTTCACGACGATTTTATGTTCTTCACAATTGTAAGAAGATTGCAATTAATTCATGATTATTAATAGGTTGAATTCACTTTAATGATCAGATTAAATGGTTTCTCAGTATTTTAAAGAGTCAACAGATTATTGTGCAATATGAATTGTCAATTTCACAATCGACAGAAGGCTAAAATCATCGTGAAAAGGTTAATTTTTCTTATATTAATATATAAACCAAATAGAATTGAATGAATACTGTAATCTTCAGAGTCATATTTATAGATTAGATTTGAAAGAACAATATGAGGTGGTTTTAAGGCGAAACTCTTCTGTTGTGACTGGAATAGCCAAAGCTGGTAAGGCGCTTCCTCAGCTAAGGAAGGATTGTGGGTTCAAATCCCATTTCTTTTCACTCAGATGAGTTCAATTACAACCACCTACAATTGATAATAGAGACAGCAAAGAGACATGGATAAAATAAGAGCCTGATGGAAAGCTTTTACAATTTATTTAATCTAGCACACTTCTTTCACTCTCTCTTCCCTTCTATCTTACATCATATGATTTCTATCTCTGCAAAAGTGCGTATACTTGGGCACTTTGCAGTGGATTCCCACCTCTTTTGGCACTAAGTTTTCAGCAAAGACACCTTCTTCAGATGCATGGTGAAGAAGGGTCACTTGAAACCCCTTTAATTAAGATTAGAATTTAGTGAGTTAACACTCTCGAACCCTTTACATGGTCTTCAAAATGTATCTTATGTAGAGTTGTGTGGATCATGTGGTGATGGATTTACTGAAAGTGACACACAGTATTTTTTCGAGAAATTTCAAAGTTGAGAAGAAAGTATATAATGGAAATTTTAGAGATTCTAGTCATTACACAGTAACTAATTTTAATTCTCACTAGCATTACTAATACTTTACTGAATGTAATACGCAAAGAAAAAGTATCTAACCCACTGACAAGAATGCAGATACAAAAAAAACCATAATAAGCAAAAAAAAACCAAGAATGATTTTGAGTGCCCAATAAATTTAGTTGAAAAATGGAAAAACAATGTTGTTACTTATTGAACTGACAAAACAACCCTCAGAAAGAAAATGATAATGAATTGTATATGTAAGCAGGGTTCGAAATGTAGTATTAGAAGAGTTTTGTTTTCACAAAATTTCCACTGTCACTCAACACAATTTGAGTTTAGTGTGTTTTTTGTGTCAAATTGTCACTAAATTTATTGGGCGAAAAGCTCAAAATTGTTCTTTTATCACTGAAACAGAAGAAGCAATAAGAAAAACAAAAACTGTTTTTTCGTCAAAGTTTTAAACAATGTTTCGTTGATTTCTTGTGTTTTTTCTTTGGATGTTGAACCCAAATTTATTTATGTTTTTCATGTTATCGCAAAAACAATTTAAACTGCACATTGAGCCAAAGACTTTGCCTGCGCCCAATAAGTGTGACTTTGTCATTGTTTACAGAGATGAAAAGAGCATTGTAATGATTTTTAGAATATTCGAGCCTTGCTTCATAGTATAATTTATTATTGTTTTCCTTCTATTGATTTTCCTTGTAGTCCTGCGTCCTAAAATTCCTTGCATTTTCTTCTTTTTAATAATTTTTTTATATTCCTTTTCAATTCAAACTTATTGCTGATTTTTCTGTAGTTCACGTCTGAGAAACACTAACACTTGAAGATTTCCATCTGTGACTCCTGAAATTTAAGAAGAAAAAGAACAATAATAAGAAGAAAAAATCAAATTGTAACGACTGTAAAATAAGTCACTCGTGACTTCTTTTTTGGCTATCGTTCTTTCTTTGGTTTCTCCTGAAAACTGCCTCTCTTATTTCTCACCCTTTCGCTTTTATTTTGTCACTGCCATTTTATTTGATTATGATTTTGATTTTATCTTTTACTTTTCTCTTTTATCACCACCTCTCACATTGGTGTTGTTCAGGCACAACCCATCGATCCTGATCTAACGGCGAAATTACTGGGCCGCGGCGTGGCCACGAGCCCAATAGTCACGGTGGAGCCGCGCCGGCGGAAGTTCCACAAGGCGATAACGCTGAGCATGCCCGCTCCGAAGGCGCACAGCCAAGGCATGATTAACCAATACTCCGGAAGCGCGCCCACGCTGCGACTGCTCTGCTCCATCACAGGTATGTTGGGTGGCTCTCTCTCGTCCTCAATGTTGTGTTCGTTTCTTTCTTTTATGTCTGTGTCAGGGTTGAACTTGGGGCTGATTTTATATCTCTCTTCGTGTTGTGTTGACTTGGGGAGAAACGCACACAAACATTTCCTCCCCAGTTCATTTATGTTGTTCTCTTGTGTAGACAAATTCTTTTGATTCAACTATATACAGACTCTACCGACAATCGTATTAGAATTTAGCAGAACATGAGAGATTTTTGATCTTAGAAGTTCCCATAGAATTTTTTTCTTCATAAAATTGTAGCGAAAAGCAGATGTTTATTGCGAAAAAATAAACTATATTAGAACATTGTTTTTTATTCCATACATTGAAGTGTAAAGTTACTTGTAATTACAATTATTATAGTTTTGGTTGAAGATGTAATTTAGGGAATTCGTCTGTACTACAGTTTAGCGGAATAACTGTTGGGGAAAAGGGCGGGGCTTCAGAGTGGGAGTGGCTTAAGAAAGTATTGTAATTAGCCTTTTTTACTGTAATTTGTTCCGATAGTCAATTTTTCTTGTAATTTTTAACAGCTTTAAATGAAATTCAAGTCTAATCTGAAACTATCATCGCTAAACTGTGGTATTTCTGGAAATTCCAATAATTTTGACTGCTTAGTATGAATGTTAATGAAAAATATATAATACTTGGAGTCTTATAATAGCGTAACATAGAAAAATTAACTTTTTTGTAAAATATATTTATGGGATAAGTAAAGGAAAATTGGCGCTGGTTTCACGAAAATGTTATTATCGTTCCCAAACACAATTTTTTTTATCGATCTCTGAAATTTTGTTAGTCACCTTTAGAGTGGAATATGGGATAAATAACTGAAACGATACAAAAAAATTGATATACTGGCTAGGATTTTATTGTGAATTGTGGTTGTTTTTGAATTGGTATTACTAATATCAATGATTGTTTTTTTTACGAAATTGCAAATTTTTTCATCCAAAAGAACCACAAAAAGTGAAGAGAAAAAGAAAAATGATTAGAAAATGAAACATTCTCACCTTAGTTTCATTTAATATTTTTGGTTTGTCAATTGAAGAATCATTTTCTTTTTGAAACAACTTAGAATCTCTCTGTGTATAATTTTTCGTACTAATGCGAAAACGCCTGTATGCACGCATTCCACTCTACATCAAGGTGTGTTTCGGAAAAGATCTCTAAAAGGTAACTAACAATACCAGCTTGGGCAACCTAATGTATATTAATCAATTATTAACTTAATTCCTTTTTATACTGTTCGCATAATTTATATTTTTTGATTTATTCTCTCTTGTTGAGAAACTAATTAATCGAAAAAAAATAATGATACGATAATTTCTATCACAAGTAATTTGAGTTTTTTCTTTCTACGGAACAGCTAAAAGAGTGTTGATTTGGTTGACTTCTCACAATTTGATTTGTTGATTTTTACTTCTCAATGAGTTTCAATATCTATTTTTTGTCGTTCAAGAACTCTTAGTTTGAAGAGCAGAGAAAATCAATTTTTCCTAATTATGCGTTCACGAGAAATTGTTTGCAAAATATTTCTTTTACATCAATTTTATTTGAGAAATAATAAAATATATACGTTACTAACAATAAATTAAATTGGATGGTTGCCAAGAAGGACAGAAGACATAAAAATGAACCGATTCTAAATTTTAAATTTGTTAATTTTTCTTTTCCCTTTTTTTAAACCTATTCTCTAACTATAATTTATCGAATGGTAACATCATTGTCAATTAGCTGGAATGCATTGGTTGTTCTCTTCCTCAAATGACAAAAATTTAAATCTGTGTATAAAATAAAGAGAATAAAGATTGGCCAAGTGAAAAACTGTACGAAAAATTCTACGGAAAGAGTTTTCAATTTTTTTTATTACAAGTAACGTATATAGAGGATTTATCTTTTAAATTTATGATTTATCTTTCTTTTACCAAATACTAAAAAAAAGAAATTTAAATAAGACACACAAGCATTTTTCTGATCTCTTACAAATTTATATTGATTCTACTACACAATCACATTATCTTTATTCTTGTACGACAATTTACTAAAAAAAAGAGAAAAGATTCTAAATAAAGCAAATCTCAGAGACAAGAAATAATCAAACTTGCTAAATTTTTACTATTCTGTTCTCTAACTAGTGAAAAAATTAAGAAATTTCTGGAATCGGCACATTTTAACAAAGAACGATAAACAAAATTACTAAATACAAGTTTTTTTTTGTCTGGAAATTAAGCAAATTAATACAAGTTAGTTGCCCATAAGGGAACTTTTCTGAAACCGTTGCTAAAGACCATCACATTTTCATCTGTTGTATTTCTATTCTAGTGATTATGTGTATATAGATGTAAACCAATAATGTCATGGAAATCCGCTTTTCGGCTCTGAAAACCTCGAGAAGTCTTGGTCTGGAAAGCGTCAAAGTTGGATTTCCAGAGACGAGCTATTTTTCTTTTCCTCCTTTATCATTTCCTCGTGAATTTCTCATTCATTCATTGTTATATCGTTTGTAATCTTCTTTTAACTGTTGAACTCTTCAATCATTCAGTAATTGTTTCTGTGTCACGCCCTTTCTGTCAATGTCCGTGGCTGAAAGTAGAATTTCAAGCAGAGTCATTCGGACTTGATGAAGATGAAAGTTTTCGAAATTTTCCAACAACTTGCAGAAGAGTGATTAAGGATGAAAAGACGAGCAAATATTCAGTTTCTTAATGGCTAATTTGTTAAGTGATAAAGTGTCACAGCCGCATGCTTTTATCTTTTTTACAGTAGACTTTAAAGGTTGATAGTAATGGTTTCATTGAAATGAACACATTCGAAAATATATTATTTCTTGATTGACTTCAACATGTTAAATATATAATCAGAGTTTTTATGTTCTTTCTTCCGTTTTGGCGATATAATTTTGATCTTTAGTGAGCGAGATTGAAGAGAAACATAGTTTCAAATACGGAATGCATCTTCTCAATCAGCTAGCATATTTCTTAGTAATCTCTTTACTTTTCCTTCAAATTAGCCATCTTTTTAGTTGTGCTTTTGACATATGACAACCTCAAAAAGTGTCCAAGAAGAGACATTTTCTTTCCATATATTTCTCATTGTATTTCTTCTATCTTGCCTCTTGCGAGTCACGCTTGGATACTGAGGAAATTATTCTTCTCTCCTTTCTCTCTTTCTGGCGTGGAATCTCGAGCAGGTGGACCATCGCGAGCTCAGTGGGAGGACGTCACCGGATCGACGCCGCTCACGTTCGTCAACGACTGCGTGTCCTTCACCACGACTGTGTCCGCGCGCTTCTGGCTCATGGATTGCCGCAACATAGCTGACGCCACAAAAATGGCCACAGAGCTCTACAGGTAGGAATTGCACACGCAATTTTACCAGACAAAGCCCAGCCATGAAAGTGTCTTATAAGATGATCAGCAAAGCAATTGGTTAGAATAGTCTGAATCGTTCTGAAGAATAGGATTGCCATTAGGCGTGCTCAACCCAGCGATGATAAGTAATCAACAACGCTGGGGAAGAGCACACCGAACAGATCACCTGCTTTTTATTTGAACAGTCTGCAATGAATTATTGCGTATAAAGTGTTGTGCATCAGATCAAATTTGCAGAACACTCCTCACAGTAATGATGTCAATTCAACATTAACTGCGCTGAGTCTCCTGAAAACTCACTCTGTTGTGTAAAAAATGGCTGTGCTTCACAACAGCTTGCGATACACCCAATCTACTGATGAATCTCACAAACAAACACCAACTAAATTGAGTATTTCGGAAACGATCGAAAAAGCAATAACAATAGCAAGGAAGACAATTAGTTGATGTTCTGAATAACTTTCGAGAAAGACCAAACTCCAGTGTTGTATTGTTAATTTTACATTCACTGAAGTGGATCTCTCGAGAGTGATCGCAGAATGTTTCGCTGTTGTGTTCTTACATAACTTTCAAAGGACTCCACCTAGTAATTTCTAAATATGTCTGAAATCTTACTAAAATGAGTCCCTCGAAAGCGATGGCAAAATGTCATGAAGTTGTGGCAGCAGACAACAATTTACAAAAGTCTTATATCAAATGAAGCTGGGTTGTAGAACTTTCGAAACATCCATTCCAGTCATGCATTGCAATCTCACATTGCCTGAACTGAATATTCCGAAGGCACTTCCAATTTGTCTCTCGTTGTTGTCTGGGACAGCTTTCGAGAAACACTCTTCCCAGTAAGTGTTCTAAAACTACACCAACTGGAATGAGTTCCCCGAGAGCGATCGCAGAATGTCTAGCTTTTTAGGCACTGGAACACTTTCTTATGATGTCCTTCTGCGCAACCTTCGGAACACCGAGCCCAGTGTTGTTTTCTTATAGCACATCAACTGAGTTCTGAATCCCGAAGACGATCAACAGATCTTTATATTGATTCATTGGCGGGTCTCTGGACAGCTTTCGGATGAACATCATCTCAGTGTGATCCATAACCACACAAGCTGGAATGAGTTCCCCGAGAGCGATCGCAGGATATCTAGGGGTTTTCCACTGAAACACTTTATTATGTTGTCCTTCTGCGCAATCTTCGGAACACCGAATCCAGTGATGTTTCCTCATAGCACATCAACTGAGTTCTGAATCCCGAAGACGATCGCAGATTTATAATAAAAATTGATTCATTGCTGTGTCTCTGGACAGCTGGCGAAAACCTCAAGTCATTTATGGTCAATCTTCATCATAAACTGAAGTGAGTTCCCCGAGAGCGATCGCAGAATGTAAGGTTGTTTGCTGTTGTCCGGGACAGCTTTCGAGAAACAATCATCCCAGGTGTGCTCGAATATTACACAAACTGAAATGAGTTCCCCGAGAGCGATCGCAAGATATCTATGGTTTTTCCACTGAAACACTGAATGGTGTCCTTCTGCGCAAACTTCGGAACACCGAGCCCAGTGTTGTTTTCTTATAGCACATCAACTGAGTTCTGAATCCCGAAGACTATCGCAGACTTATAAAAATTCATGCAATGCTGAAGAACCGTAGCTGCAGCGTCTCAATATGTCTGTCCTCTGTGAAGTTCTGGGATGGAATGAATCGTTCTTGCCGAACGACTTGCTTTTATACTCCTGAGAGTCATAAAATTTTTACCCTTTCTACCTGATCAGGCGACAGGTCTAGGTCATAAATTATGCTAATGACTTTCTTCCACAATTCATTTCTGACCCAATATTAATTGTTTTTTTTTTAGACTATTTCTTAAAGAGTTCCCAATGTTAAACGGTTGTAAACTGTGTGCTTAATTGTAATTCAATCCTTAATTCTCTGGCAGAGAGGCGATTCACGTGCCCTTCATGGCCAAGTTCGTGGTGTTCGCGAAGCGAGTGGATCCACTGGAAGCGCGCCTGCGGGTGTTCTGCATGACGGACGACAAGGAGGACAAGACGCTGGAGCACCAGGAGTACTTCACGGAGGTGGCGAAGAGCAGGGACGTGGAGGTGCTGGAGGGCAAGGCGCAGTACATTGAGATGGCGGGTAATCTGGTGCCGGTGACGAAGAGTGGCGAGCAGCTGCAGTTGCCCTTCAAAGCCTTCCGTGAGAATCGCCTGCCGTTCTCGGTGCGCGTGAAAGATCAGCACGCTGATACGGTGGGTCGAGCGCTGTTCATGCGCGAGCCGAAGGTGGCCAAGGGCGAGCCTCCGCAGCAGCCCATCTGCATCCTCAACATCGTGCTGCCCGAGGACATCATGCCGGACTTCGTGACGTCGCAGGAGGACGGCATCGACTCGAGCGAGGTGTACAAGCGCCTGATGCCGGACGGCGGCACGTACTTGGGCGACTTGCGCGTGGTGGACATGTCGAACCTCCTGGGCGAGGATTGGTTGAAACTGGCGCCGGAGATTGGTGTGTCCGAAGTGGAGGTGGAGGAGATTGTGGAGCAGCATCCCAACAGCACGGCTCAGCAGGCGCAGGCCATGCTGAGACTGTACTTGATGCGGAGGAATAATGATCGGAACATCCTGGAGAATGGCCTGAAGGCTATTCAGCGCGATGATATCGTGAAGCGGTGCATGAGGAGCAATTATATTGAGGCGAATAGGCAAGATCACGTCTCGCGGCGGCACATAAGTCTCGATGGGAGTCCGTATGAGGAGTCGGATCTCATGAAGGACTCGGAATCCATTGAGGAACTGGTGCAAACTGAAGGTGAGTGGGTGAAGATTTGGAAATAACATTGAGCTGTCAAGATCGCATCCAAACGCTGTAAAAGTCCTGTCGATGTGTTTTTATTTTTATTTTATGTGATTTCTTTTCTGTTCTATGTCTAGCTTACATATATACAAATTGCAACAATAAAGGATGAATCATGCACAGACACACAATCTAATCATACAGAAAACATCTCACGAGATGGAGAAATTACCCAACCACAGATCATTAAAAATAGAGAGAAACATGACGATTTAAGTATTATGCGTTTTATTTCTTTATTTTGTTTAATGTTTTTTTTTTCTTTTCCCTAAGGCTTATTGTGTTGAGCTTGTTTATAAGTATTTTATTTTAGAAACGCAAGCAAAAAATATAAATCTGGACGATAGAGACACTCTACACATACAAAAAAAACTGCAGATGAAGAGCACAAATCATTGGACATTGATGTTAGTTAGACTGTGCTTAGTTTCTTTTGCCTATTGTCACACAATCCCCAGCTTCCCTGCATTGTAACATTTGAACTGACAAAAATGCAACAGAACACTGTACAAGAGCATTGTAACCGTGGAAAATGTTTGAGAGCAATAAAAATGTAGCTTAAATTGTCCATCACTAGTCCTGGCATTTTTCTCCATTTGTAGATAATCGCTTGAAGCAGCTCCACGAGCGGGAGGAAATGAAGTATTCCGCCGAGGAGAAGATTATTGAGGACGAGGAGTCCGAGGAGGACGAGGTGGTGAAGCGGTCTGTGGCCGAGAGGCGGCAACAGATTGAGAAGCGGCTCTCGGTGGAGCGCCAAATCCCGGCGTCGACGCAGAAGAAGGAGATCGTGGAGGAGATCACGACAATAAAGCGGCACAGCTTGATCGAGGACAAGAAGGCGCGCCACGAGGAGGAGATCCTGGCCCAGACGCCAGTTGAGAATGTCATAAAGCCCGTGGCGCTGCCAGAGCCCGTGCTGAAGCTGAAGAGTGGCAATCTGAAGGAGGGCAGTGACTTGGACAAGACGGAGTTCGATAGGGAGCTCAAGGATAAGTTCAAGAGCACAGGGAAGAGTGTCGAGGAAGACTTTGAGGAGTTGGTAGACAGCAAGATCCACATTGATAGCAAGGTGACGGAGAAAACAGTCACCGACAGGGATGGTGATGTGATCACGACGTGCATCACGACCACTAAGACAACCACGATCGTGGATGAGGAGCCTCAGATTGTCACATTCACTGCCACGGACAGCCTGCAAGACAAGCTGCGGCGCGAGGAGCTGGAGAAGGAGGCCAGTGTCCCCCGGAAGACCACCTTTGTCGAGCCTCAGCTCGCCGAAAAAATCGAGACGTCGTCACGCTTTGTCGATGACCTCATTGGCGATGCCGCGGAAACGGTGGATGCGATTAAGCGTCGCGATCACGGCACGAAGATCGTCACTGAGGAAGTTTGCATAGAAAGAGGTGAGTTGGCATCGTGGGATGGCGTGCAATTCTCTTACAGCCTCTCTTCCCTCACTTTTTAAAGCTGCAAATGATATCACATTGTCGCAAACGCCTCCACCAACGCCGGAGCTTCAATTCCAGCGTGATCCTCTCGAGGATCGCCGTGGGATTCAATTCCAAGGTAAGTGACGCCAGCGCCCCTGCAAATACGAGTTGAGGACTCGAATCCCCTGAAATCCTCCCTCGAATAATACAGACAACTTTAACGATTTACCCAAACTCTCATTCCTCATTCAGCTATTCGGTATTTTTCTCGTTCTTTCTGTATTTAATGGAAGATCATGTAACATTTTTGAGTTATTTAATGATCACTCAAGGTTTCAGTGATTCCACTACCTCTGATGTAGAGTTTGTAAATAAATCTTGCATATATTCTTTAATTTGTATATTAAATCTGTTCTTTTGAGTAACTTTTTTTCTGTAAAATGTAGCTTTGAAGCTTGAATTGAATCACGCTGTGCCATTTTTTGCTTCTGCAGGGAATTTTCTTGACTCATTCTCTGCAATTTGACCCACTTTCGCTGGTGTGAAAGTAAAACCATTTTGTCAACAATCGATAAATTCCACTAAGGGTTTTTCTGAGGAATCCATTTAACTCTTGGAGGAAATCGAGCATACTCAGTTGCATGCATCCAAATCGCAATTCAGTGAGCTTGCTTTCGGCCCAAGCTTAAATGGACTGCTTATGAAATGTCGCTGCCGAGAGGCATAATTTGTGAGATGCGCGAATTCCAGCGAGAAAATTCCCTGAGCGCCAAGAGAAGTCTGCGACCTCGAAGTTCGCACTGCTTGAGGAGCATTCTAAGGTTTCGCTCACGGCTAATTGCATTATCAATCACGAGAAGTGTGTAATCCATTGGAAAAGCTCAAAAAACGCCCCATTTCACCATCAATTCATGCTCATTCTGTTAGTTGTGGTTTGAAACTTCTTTAGAGCATTGTGTATTGTGTGTTCTTTGTGTAATATACTAACTAACCTTCTTTTAATCAAAATAACAATAATTACTACTACTTTTAAATACATATAAACTTGAAAAATACTATATATTTACAAAGAGTTTTTCAACCTTTTTTTCATTCATTATTTTCTCTCTCTAATTATCTGTAAATTTATACTAATCTCTAGTAACATAATCTTTATACGCAAAAACTTAACTGATTAAGAGTTCAACTCAGTATTAGAACATATATTTGTTGCAAATATACGGTAAGTTGAAGTGATTAAGAAGATTCTACAGACGACAAATTCTCTCTTTTCTTTTTTATTACAACAAAATAGAAGTTTTAAGTTTTATTCTCAGTTTAAGAAAAATGAAGTAAATATGATAAATCTTTGGCAATTCGTGTCTGTTGATCATTTATCGACAAAATACAGAGTTTGCAAAGCGGTTTTGCTCAATTGCGCGTATTTGAGTGTACTGAAAAAGTGGCGAAAATGCAAGAATTCACACACAAACAACACACAAAAAACGAACGTTTGCCTGTGTGATAATGACTTTATTCTTAATATAAAAGACATAATTTCGTTTAGTTTTATCTGAAATATATAGTTATTCTTTCTGTTCAATGCAGAGAAATGTATTTATAATGAAGTGAAAACAAAAAAAATCACGATAAATTATCTCTTTTGGCTGCTGAATCAAAATTTCTGAAACCTTTGGTGCTGTGTGTAAATTTATTATAAATACACCTTCCCATCGTACTTTATGTGTTAACTATTGCAATTATATATCAAAAGTATTTCTCTCTATCTCTATATTACAAAAATCATCAAGAATATTTTGTTGTATTGCAACGAGTTTCCCTTTTATTTTGCCAACTTTTATGTTTGTTTTCTTGAACATGAATGTATAAAGGATTTTAGGTGGGAAGAATTGGAGACTTTTCTCCGCGTGTGAGAGTGAAATTGGCCCATAAATTCATCACTTTTGGTCCTCTATCATGGAACTATTTGCTCTTTTTCCAAATTCCTTCACAGCAATTCGATAAAAGAAATTGACGATGCATTAATTTGCAATGATAAAGGACATGAATTGATACGAAACTTTCATTCCATTTCTTCATACTGTGCTTTATCTTTAGAGAATGTTTATGAATCTTCATATGGAGCTTTCTTTTCTCATACTATGGCTTTTATCTACCTGGAATGGAAGGTATTTGATTAGCAATGACACGGCAACCGAAGAGTTTTATTCCAAATTTGGCAAGTAAACTTGAGCTATGATCATAATATAAAGTATGAAGTCGTGGCAAAAGAATCTTTCTCAAGACTGTGTACACTCAAATAAAGTCTCTTTCGCACAAGACTCTCAGTTTTCTTTTCACCTTTTGTTGCTAAATGATGTGAAGACATTTGCAAACATTTTTTCCATAAGTGATCAACACATTTTCTGTTCCTTCTTTTCGGCATTCCTTTGCAAATCTTTCACTTCCTTCTCATTGACCTAGACTTAATATTTACAACATCTAATGGTATCTCGCGCTGATTTGCCCGATTATGTCTCATGGACGATTCAAGGATCAAGGAAGACAGCTTTTCTAGATCGTTTTAGTCGGTTATGTTGGAACACAAGACGCTTTTTGGCTCCACATTTTAGCGACAAGCAATATAAGAGCTGTTTATTTCTTTTTGAAGCGATTAGTCATCCACGACATCATACCTTATATTATTGCGGGAAGAGGCATAAAAAGATGGTGCAAAATTTAAACAAAAGCTATCGGACACGGTGAGATGATGAGCAAGAGAATCAAATACTCCAAAAATGGTGGTGGCAATAATTTGCTTATCGATGTTGGTGAATGTTTATCAACCATGCAGTTAATCTATTTATCTGTGTAGCGCTCCAAAATACCCCAAAATGACTTAGGATCCCCCACAAATCGACCATCATCAGCATTTGTTTATCAATGATTCTCTCACCTTTACTCCCCTTTCTCTGTCTTATCTAACTTATATTTATTGTACCTGTTACACGCTGCACGCTCCATCTGATTCAACCTCATGGATGCTTGCTAAAATGTAACAATCCCCATTGATCGTGTCCTCTTTGTCTGTCCAATTTTGCCGGGTGAATCTCGCCCCCAAATCTGTTGTTGAACCCTTGTCTCAGATGATACAACGACCTCATCTGTGCAAGATGACGCGTCGGTGGACACTGAAATGTTCCGCGAGGATCACTTTGGCAGTCTCGACCCCGTCACGAAGCGCAAGGCCGTTTACTGGGCCTCCGCTGAGGACTTCGACGCACTCAGCATGCAATCATCCGAGGTGGATGACAAGCGTGCCACCCCATCAGACATCACTGCACCCTCCTCGAGTGACAACCAGCGCAGGCGATCGCAGCAGAAGGCGCAGTTTAACCTGCGCTTCGAGGAGACGGCCGGAGACTCTCAAACGACCAGCATTGGCACGTCGCCCATCACGAATCTGGTGGAGTCTCCCGAGGCCCCGCGATCCGGCCGCACGGATTCGCCCTCGCTGAAGCTGGTCATTGGCCGCAAGGAGCTGAAGACCAGCGACGCTTCTGCTATCAGCGAGAGTCGCCTGACGCTGTACGGCACTCAAGACGTAGAGATCTCCATCAGCAGCCAGTCGAAGATCAGCGTGACCACGACTCACAGCACCAGCACAAGCAGCAGTGCTGGAGAGCGCGACACGCCCAGGAAGCAGCGCAAGGAGAAGGTATTCGAGTCCGAGGAAACGTTCGGACGCGATGGCAAGAAGCGCGAGGAGTCGGTGGTGTTCTCTAACAAGAAGAGCATTCACCTTTACGGGAGCTTCGACTCCAACAGCGAATCGCCAGCCACTGAGCACAGCTACTCGCATCACATTACCGATACCGGGATCTCCCTCACGCGTGGCACCTTCACTGAGACCGCCACAAGTCCTGGCATCCAGGCCACGTCAGATAATGCGAATGAGAAGGGCCGCTTGGCCCTGATCACAGACACCGCGCTGGATGTGGAAGTGGAGGAGCTGGAGCTCACAGACGCTGGTCTCAGTCCAATCCAGCCTGATGACCAAGACCTGGTCAATATAGGCTTCCAGATGGCCGCCGAGGAGGACATTCACTTCTCGAACATGGCCACAAGTCCAGTTGAGTTCGACGCCTCGAGTTCCGCTGTGGACACTTCCGAGGCGGGAACGCTCACGGACCAGGTCGTCCTCAAAGACGCCTCCTCGAGTCCACTCGACGCCAACACGAGCCTCAGACAAGATTTGTCCAAGCTCAAGGAGGAAGATATCCTCATGACACGTCGAGGTTCAGGCGACGTGAAGGCCAAAGTAAAGATGCTCGAAGAGAGTGTCCTCAAATCCTCCCTCTCTCAATCGTCGTCCCCCAAAAAGAAATCTGTGACCCTTCCCAAGGAGTCCAAAGAGCCTCCGCAGAAACCCGTATCATCAGACGAGAGGACCGACTCAAGCAATGAGGACGAGTCCGCGGTGTCTGAAGAACCCATTCCGCCAATCCACGAAATGATCATGCAAATTGAGAAGAGAATCGCTGACGAGTCCACAAGTCGTACGACTTCCGATCCTAGAAGTCCCTTGAAGCGCTCCACTAGGAGCACTAAAGTCCCTCGGGAAAAGGTGTCCGAAGCCACAATCCTCGGGGATCTTGAGGAACAGATTATCAAGCCCTCAGACACAACTGATGGAGAGCAAAAAGAATCCGAACAAGACGATCAACGTCGCATTTCCAAACTCATTTACGCTCTGGAGAATAAGCAAAAATTCGATGAAATTGACGCAGTAGCGCAAAATCTTCAAGAGATTCATGAGCCTGTTTGCGAAGTGAAATTGACAAAGAAGACGATTTCCCAATTGACTGACACTGACGAAGACGTGGACGAGATAGAAAAACTTGAAGATCCCACAAAGTCCGATACTAAGAAACATGTCTATTTCTCCGAATCTGTCCAAGACACGAAAGAGAATAAATCCGAACGGAAGTCCTCCAAAATTGATACTCACTCCACATTTAAAACCATTGAATTCGCCTCTAACACACTTGCTGTGGTTGATTTTCAAAATATTGTGACAAAGACGGAGTCTTGTGAGGCACGAGATGAAATGGAAAAAGTTCATACTCTGGAGAAAGTTCAGACTAAAGTCACGGAAACAACTGATCACACACCAGCGCAAAAAATCTTTTCTCAAATAGAGAAATCAGAAATTACAGAAAAGACCAAACATACTGAGTCAGTTGCAAATCAGCAGACAATTAAAACCACAGCGACAACAGTCAAAGAGTTAACTTCAGAAACTGCCACTTTAGCTGGGGATCTTACTGGCAATCAGCCAGAAGGGACCGAAACACCTCTTCAAAGGCAAGCAGAAGTAGAAAATCTATGCACACATGCGTACGAAGAAAAAAGATCCGAATTTAAAGAAGATATATTTGATATCGACTTAACAAAAATAACGGAAAAAACAACAGAACAAGAAGTTACAACATACAAGGATATAAAACAATCAGATGATATTAAAACAACAATGATAATACCGAAAGAAGAACATGATTTTGAAGAAAAAGCATTAGAGAAAGAAACAGTTGACGATAAACCTAAATCCAGCGACGCATCTCCCAAAATTTCTTCGCTAGTTCAAACCACAAGCTCAAACGAAGCCCCTGACCTAGAGAAGACAGAGATCGTTAAACAAGTTGAAATTGTTGCGCAGAAGATCCAAGAAGTCGCCAAGGATGAGATTCTTAAGGTCGAGCCAACTTCCAAGGAGCCCTCTCGGCCACAATCATCCGCCGAGCTGAAAGAAGAGGTCAAGAAAGTTGGCAAGGAGTCTCCGAAGGAAATCTCCAGGCCAGAGTCCGTTGCCAGTTCGAAGGACGAAGCTCCGAAAGAGCCTGAGCCCATTTCGGAACCGACAAAAGAAATCTCCCGGCCAGAATCCGTCGCCAGTGTCAAGGAGAGCCCGAAAGAAACCAAGCTGTCTCCTGAACTAGAGAAGATTGTCACTGAGAAGACAGAGATCGTTAAACAAGTTGAAATTGTTGCGCAGAAGATCCAAGAAGTCGCCAAGGATGAGATTCTTAAGGTCGAGCCAACTTCCAAGGAGCCCTCTCGGCCACAATCATCCGCCGAGCTGAAAGAAGAGGTCAAGGAAGTTGGCAAGGAGTCTCCGAAGGAAATCTCCAGGCCAGAGTCCGTTGCCAGTTCGAAGGACGAAGCTCCGAAAGAGCCTGAGCCCATTTCGGAACCGACAAAAGAAATCTCCCGGCCAGAGTCCGTCGCCAGTTCGAAGGACGAAGCTCCGAAAGAGCCTGAGCCCATTTCGGAACCGACAAAAGAAATCTCCCGGCCAGAATCCGTCGCCAGTGTCAAGGAGACCCCGAAAGAATCCAAATTGTCTCCTGAGCTGGAGAAGATTGTCACTGAGAAGACAGAGATCGTTAAACAAGTTGAAATTGTTGCGCAGAAGATCCAAGAAGTCGCCAAGGATGAGATTCTTAAGGTCGAGCCAACTTCCAAGGAGCCCTCTCGGCCACAATCATCCGCCGAGCTGAAAGAAGAAGTCAAGGAAGTTGGCAAGGAGTCTCCGAAGGAAATCTCCAGGCCAGAGTCCGTTGCCAGTTCGAAGGACGAAGCTCCGAAAGAGCCTGAGCCCATTTCGGAACCGACAAAAGAAATCTCCCGGCCAGAGTCCGTCGCCAGTTCGAAGGACGAAGCTCCGAAAGAGCCTGAGCCCATTTCGGAACCGACAAAAGAAATCTCCCGGCCAGAATCCGTCGCCAGTGTCAAGGAGAGCCCGAAAGAATCCAAATTGTCTCCTGAGCTGGAGAAGATTGTCACTGAGAAGACAGAGATCGTTAAACAAGTTGAAATTGTTGCGCAGAAGATCCAAGAAGTCGCCAAGGATGAGATTCTTAAGGTCGAGCCAACTTCCAAGGAGCCCTCTCGGCCACAATCATCCGCCGAGCTGAAAGAAGAGGTCAAGGAAGTTGGCAAGGAGTCTCCGAAGGAAATCTCCAGGCCAGAGTCCGTTGCCAGTTCGAAGGACGAAGCTCCGAAAGAGCCTGAGCCCATTTCGGAACCGACAAAAGAAATCTCCGGCCAGAGTCCGTCGCCAGTTCGAAGGACGAAGCTCCGAAAGAGCCTGAGCCCATTTCGGAACCGACAAAAGAAATCTCCCGGCCAGAATCCGTCGCCAGTGTCAAGGAGAGCCCGAAAGAATCCAAATTGTCTCCTGAATTAGAGAAGATTGTCACTGAGAAGACAGAGATCGTTAAACAAGTTGAAATTGTTGAGCAGAAGATCCAAGAAGTCGCCAAGGATGAGATTCTTAAGGTCGAGCCAACTTCCAAGGAGCCCTCTCGGCCACAATCATCCGCCGAGCTGAAAGAAGAGGTCAAGGAAGTTGGCAAGGAGTCTCCGAAGGAAATCTCCAGGCCAGAGTCCGTTGCCAGTTCGAAGGACGAAGCTCCGAAAGAGCCTGAGCCCATTTCGGAACCGACAAAAGAAATCTCCCGGCCAGAGTCCGTCGCCAGTTCGAAGGACGAAGCTCCGAAAGAGCCTGAGCCCATTTCGGAACCGACAAAAGAAATCTCCCGGCCAGAATCCGTCGCCAGTGTCAAGGAGACCCCGAAAGAATCCAAATTGTCTTCGAGCTGGAGAAGATTGTCACTGAGAAGACAGAGATCGTTAACAAGTTGAAATTGTTGCGCAGAAGATCCAAGAAGTCGCCAAGGATGAGATTCTAAGGTCGAGCCAACTTCCAGGAGCCCTCTCGGCACAATCATCCGCCGAGCTGAAAGAAGAGTCAAGGAAGTTGGCAAGGAGTCTCCGAAGGAAATCTCCAGCATCCGTTGCATTCGAGAGAACTCAGGCGCCATTTCGGAGCAAAGAATCTCGGCCAGAGTCCGTGCCAGTTCGAAGGACGAAGCTCCGAAAGAGCCTGAGCCCATTTCGGAACCGACAAAAGAAATCTCCCGGCCAGAATCCGTCGCCAGTGTCAAGGAGAGCCCGAAAGAATCCAAATTGTCTCCTGAGCTGGAGAAGATTGTCACTGAGAAGACAGAGATCGTTAAACAAGTTGAAATTGTTGAGCAGAAGATCCAAGAAGTCGCCAAGGATGAGATTCTTAAGGTCGAGCCAACTTCCAAGGAGCCCTCTCGGCCACAATCATCCGCCGAGCTGAAAGAAGAGGTCAAGGAAGTTGGCAAGGAGTCTCCGAAGGAAATCTCCAGGCCAGAGTCCGTTGCCAGTTCGAAGGACGAAGCTCCGAAAGAGCCTGAGCCCATTTCGGAACCGACAAAAGAAATCTCCCGGCCAGAGTCCGTCGCCAGTTCGAAGGACGAAGCTCCGAAAGAGCCTGAGCCCATTTCGGAACCGACAAAAGAAATCTCCCGGCCAGAATCCGTCGCCAGTGTCAAGGAGACCCCGAAAGATCCAATTGTCTCCTGAGCTGGAGAAGATTGTCACTGAGAAGACAGAGATCGTTAAACAAGTTGAAATTGTTGCGCAGAAGATCCAAGAAGTCGCCAAGGATGAGATTCTTAAGGTCGAGCCAACTTCCAAGGAGCCCTCTCGGCCACAATCATCCGCCGAGCTGAAAGAAGAGGTCAAGGAAGTTGGCAAGGAGTCTCCGAAGGAAATCTCCAGGCCAGAGTCCGTTGCCAGTTCGAAGGACGAAGCTCCGAAGAGCCTGAGCCCATTTCGGACGACAAGAATCTCCGCGAGTCCTGCCAGTTCGAAGGACGAAGCTCCGAAAGAGCCTGAGCCCATTTCGGAACCGACAAAAGAAATCTCCCGGCCAGAATCCGTCGCCAGTGTCAAGGAGAGCCCGAAAGAATCCAAATTGTCTCCTGAATTAGAGAAGATTGTCACTGAGAAGACAGAGATCGTTAAACAAGTTGAAATTGTTGAGCAGAAGATCCAAGAAGTCGCCAAGGATGAGATTCTTAAGGTCGAGCCAACTTCCAAGGAGCCCTCTCGGCCACAATCATCCGCCGAGCTGAAAGAAGAGGTCAAGGAAGTTGGCAAGGAGTCTCCGAAGGAAATCTCCAGGCCAGAGTCCGTTGCCAGTTCGAAGGACGAAGCTCCGAAAGAGCCTGAGCCCATTTCGGAACCGACAAAAGAA